AGGCAGAGAAAACTTTGCCGACTTTTCGTTGTTAATGCGACAAAACCGGTTGCCCGTTTCTTCAATTTGATGCAGCAGTTGCAGCGCAGCGATGTTGTCACGAAATTTGGTTTTAGCGCCGCCTGCGCCAAAATCTACCAGGGTGTCTAGCCTGAAATGACCAGATTGGTATTGACTCCCTGCAATTCCAACCTCTCTTGTTCGCTCATCGCCAGATTCGGCTGACTGAGTAACGCTTCCACCTCCGCCTCCTGCTGGTTGATGATGGTGGTGTAAAGCCCCATGAACCCCTGTTTTTCCAACATCTTCAAGGCTTCCGGTTGGTTGATCGCCCAACGAGCCAAGATTTTGCGCCCCTGTGTTCTGAGGTCTTGGTCGTTCTGTAGCTGAGTGATCGTCTCCGGCGCGAGGATTCGCGCCGCTATCGTCATAGGATTCTCGTTTCCAATGATCATTGGCATGTTCCTTATCATGATCTGACATATGTCCCCCGTTATTACGAAATGTACGCACAATTCGAAATAATGAGGGAGTAACGTTACTTAGTCAATGTCACCTTATGAAGCTTACATTCAGAAACAGGTACTTGGAGTTCGCCGGAAATATTGGGTGATGTAACGAAAACCATCTCGTCATCACCATCAATAACACTCGGTTTATCCAGCAATTCATGTTCAACACCATCAATCAGGACGATCACCGTGATATGGCCTGTGCCAGCTATAGATGAAGGTATTGGGGTGTTTGTCGCAGTTGTATCCGGGCCTTGTACAACCGGTGCGATGTCCTGACCTGTGGTATCCGGGTCTTGCACACTCGGCGCGGTATCCTGACCTGTGGTATTTGGGCCTTGCACATCCGGTGCGGTATGCTGACCTGTGATATCCGAGTCTTGTACACCCGGCGCGGTATGCTGACCTGTGGTATCCGGGTCTTGCACACCCGGCGCGGTATCCTGACCTATTGTATCGAGGTCTTGCACACCCGGTGGGGTATTCTGACCTGTCGTATCGAGGTCTTGCACACCCGGTGGGGTATTCTGACCCGTCGTATCGGGGTCTTGCACACCCAGCACGGTATCCTGATCTGGCTTTTGTTTCGGCGTTTTGCCTTTTAAAACATTGAGGCGTTCTTGTGCCTCGCTTCGCTTTGCTTCACCCTGTTCACGAATTTCAGCCACATAAGATTCGCACTCCTGTGGTGAAAGCGCATAAATGGCAGTGAGAATGTTCAATGTTTCAATGTAGGTGACGACGCCGTCTTCCAGTAATGACTGAACCATATCGGGCATTTCAAGCAGTTTTAGATGCTTGGAGATATAAGCCGGTTTGCGGCCAAAAGATTCTGCAATCGCCGCCGTGCTCATGGCAAAGTCATCTCGTAGCAGCGCAAATCCTTTACCCAGTTCGATTGGCGTAAGCTGTTCCCGCTGATCATTTTCTGCAATCTGGCGGATAATATTCTTCGCATTGTAAACCTCGATATCGAGGTTGTTGTCGATGATGACCAGCACCGGTTCATCATTGTGTTTTGCTGCTCGCCAACGCCGTTCGCCAACATGGATGCGGTGTTTGCCGTCCTTATCGGCAGGGAATACCCGGATCGCTTCTTCTTGCTGCTTGCCTTTCATTGAGGCGGCCAGACTTTCGATGTCGGTAAATTTAAATCGAACTTGTTTGACGCTGTAGATTTTTTCGTGAGGGATCCACGATAACTGCAATTCGTCAGGGCGAGGATTTCCGCGAATCAGCGCTGCCAGCGATTTGTCGGTTTTAGCCTGGCCAAGCGACCCCATGAAGTCTTTTTTAGCCATGATACCCTTCCTCATGTTTTATTCGACGCAGCAACTCCTGAGTAAGCAGGGTGAACTGTAGCGTGATTTCTTGATTTGGTGCGTAGTCGAGTAATGGTTGTGCCAGGGATTGAGCTTCAACAATTTGTGTCGCGGTTTTGATCGCCGGTGATACGATGTGATCACCGTATTGTTGCATCAGGAGTTTACGGTAATTGTCCTGGATGCGGACCAACGAGTCTTCTTTACGGCTGGTGTAATTGATTTTATTAACCACGATGCCAAGTAACGTCAGCTCAGTATCGTAAATGAGCTTGGTGTTCATCGCCGTTTTCAGCTGGTACACAATACCCTTTTTAGAAAAACGAGCGAGTTCGGTCGGGATCACCAGCCAGTCGGCTGAGCGATGGGCTGCCGCTAAGGCGTTGCCGAAACTGGGCAGGGTGTCGAGGATCACCAGATCAAAATTGCTCTCGACGCGTTTTAAATTACTGTAGAAATTACTGACCAGTGTTTTTGTGTCCCCGAGCTGAATGTCTGCCAGGTCGAGGCTGGATCCGATAAGATAGAGGTTCTCTTCCCGCTTAAGCGGTTCAATCTGCGCATTTTCATCCTCAAACATGTTCCAGATATGCGCGGGACCGGGTTTGAAATCATCGCCGTCAGGATCGGGCAGTATTTCAGCGGGAAACTCATCATCTTCCTGATAGTACTGTTCGGTGAGGTTTCCCTGGGGATCCATATCAATCACCAGCGTTTTATACCCCATGCGTGCTAACACGGCTGCTATAGCCGCAGCAATCGTGGTTTTTCCCACGCCACCTTTCTGAGAACTGACCGAAATAATCTTTTTCTGAGGAAAATAAAGCCCGTCGGTATTGCGCAGCAATGAATGACCGGTGCGTTCTTCCAAGCGTTGCCATACATCAGTCGGCATCTCGCGGTACCCTTTGGTGCCGGGTTCAGCAATGTAACTGAGGATGGCACGCTCCGTGATCCCAAGTGCTTTGGCAGCATCTTTCCATGTCGCGCCGAGAGAGAGCTTGAAGCTGCGCAGTGCGAGTTCTTGTGCTGTGATCATGTGGACTGTCCTTGAAAATCTTTGTCTGGTACCAGTTCCGCTCTGCGTACTGGAAAAGTCCGGCGCGTAGCATTTGCACGTGGCACCGGACGTCGATTCATGCCTACTCACGTTTCGTATACGAAATTTGAGTGCTGTTATGCGTTGGCTGAAATCTCGGAGATCAGCGTTGTGTTGTCTGCTTTTCTGGCTCTCATACGCGAAATGACAACTTGGCGATCGAGTTTTTGACCAAAAACAGCGCTGAGTTCTGCATTGGTCATCACTGGCAACCAAGAACGGCTATCTTTACCGCGGGGAAGTGCTAAAATGGACGCAAGATTCATTGGAGTCTCCTTCAGTGAGTCAGGGTATGAGAGAACTTGCCGGTGGTCTCGTACCCTGTGTAGTTCGTGTGTAGTTCACAGTTATGATACTACACGCGAACTACACACCAATCAAGGAACACTACACAATTTTTTTGTTCTGTCGCATTAATCGGCTAATCAGGTAACATGCTATTTTTTAATGA